TCGGTTCGGCTGGCCCTCCAACTGCTCTCCAGGCGTCTTTTCCGACGTTTCATCTCTCTCAGCCCCTCGGTAAACCAAGGAGATGGTCGAGATCCACGTCGGGTCAGAGGCCGCAAAGGCACGACTCGGTCCAATGCTGCGGCGGCAGTTGTCTCCCAAGCCGCCGCCTGATTTTCCGCCGAGTCGTGGACCAGATCCTTTGAGTATATTCCAGGTGCAAAAATGTGTTGACATTGATTATAAAATAAGATCCCAGAATATAGGTTAGATAAGAAACGGAGCAAGAGGAACTCACCTTTACTATGACCCAAGTATCCAGGAGGGAAGTTTTTTTTGATATGGAAAGGATTTTGATATGGAAAGTTTGAAGACCGATGAGCTAAGTTCAAATATACAATTCATCCCTCTCTAAGAACAGAAGAGTTGATAATCTTCAAAACCAGAACGTTTTGAGTTTTCTATAGTTGAACCCATTTTTTATCCTCCTGACACTAAATAAACATCAAAGCAGTATTTCAATTAATAAATGTGGGTGATGCTTTCACTTAAAGATGGTAGATATGAAGATTTGCTTTTTTGGGGTAGTAGTGTCATAATAATGGCATATTGCCATCTAGTTTATCTAGCCATAGCCTCAATATTCCATTGTTCTCTTCCTTGAATTTGTGTTACCAATCTATTTCCAGTTCCAGTTTCGTGGTGATTTACTTAAAGGCCCTTCAGTATCTTTCCAGGAGGCCCAGGCCCAGGCTATTTTACAGCAAGCCAAGGTAAGCATGGTGGGCAAATGTATGAATATATGTGCATATGTTGAGCTTTTTTGTCTTAAATCTTGAATTCTCTAAGTAGTCAACTTGTTTTGCGCCAACACTCAACACCTCTCTCTCTCTCTCTCTCTCTCTCTCTCTCTCTCTCTCTCTCTCTCTCTCTCTCTCTCTCTCTCTCTCTCTCTTTCTCGCCCTCTCTCATTTTTTATTTCTGTTCTGGATAATGTTCTATATTCTTCTCAAATTCTTAATGCCATCCAGAAATGTTGAGATATTTGACCTTGCAAATGTGAATTATAGGTGAATAAATTGAAATAATAATATTGCAGGTTTTCAAGTGATTTCTAAATCAGGTGGCTCATCACAGAACATCAGCTAATCAAATTACTGAAATCACTCTCCTAATCTATTCATCATCCATTAAATTGCAGTATCTCAATTCCCTCAGTAAGGTTATGTTTGCTTCACCAGGTCATGCACAGAATTAGTGAAATGTATAAACAAAAGTATATTGTATAAAACAGAGAGCCAGCTTGGCATAGTGGTTAAGGCATCAGGCTAGAAACTGGGAGACCATGAGTTTTAGTCCCACCTTAGGCACAAAGCCAGCTGAGTGACTTTGGGAACTCTTTCAGAAAGGAGGCAATGGCAAACCACTTCTGAAATCTTGCCAAGAAAACAGCAGGAACATGTCCAAACTGGCTCAAAACAAACAAACAAACAATAAACAATTAAACAAAGTTTCCATCCTAAAGATTCTGCATTTCTTTGCACTTAAATTAATCAGATTATCCATTTCAAGCAGTCTTGGAAGAGAACAAGCAAACGTAGAAGAGAGGAATCATAGAGGGTTAGCATCCCCTTTTGCAACTAATATAAATCAAGTGCTTAAAACAGCCCCCACAAAAAATGAACCTCTCTAGGAACTCCTGTTCTCTGATTATTTCACACTTTTGAAATGTGAAATAACAATCCTCCACTCACCCCTTAGAAGATAGAAAACTGCAGATAATGACTCCAGACTGATAATGAACTTTCTCCATTTGATCATGGTGTCTATGTTGCCAGTTGTCACTCATGGCAGTGTATGTTTACCTCAGGGTGCAGCAACTGTGTTACCTATGTCATGCAAACCCATTCTAACACTAAAGGTTTTCCATATAGAATATTCACATTCTGTTTCAAGGAATATAGTAAATCAGACTTAAGCAGATAAATCATCATACAGTATGGAAGAGAAACAAAATCTTCACCCAGCCCAATGGAGAACTGATTTGATCGATTTAATATATTTTTTTTAAAAAAAATGGTCCTAAATTAAATCTGCACCTGGGTTGAGAGTTCATTTGAAGAACAGAAGATCTTTTCAATAATTAATTTAGGTTAATGATGTAATCATGCCCTACAATAAGATGAATAACATGCCTTTTCTCATTCATTTGAATTAGACAGAAATTGGCTTAGTTAAAACCAAGCAAAACCAAGATCATTCCTGAACTCATTTTGTCCACTTCTCCGGCTATAATGGTACAATCAGAAGAATAAAGATGAATGAAACTACTGCTACCTAAATATTCTTTTTTTCTCCCACTTTAAACACCTACCTCAAGCCAGCATCTTCTTATTTACAATTACTCAATGAATTTCTTCCCAATTCCTTTTGATTTTACTACAGCTCATCATTTTCTTTCTCTTCTCAGCTTTCCATGAAAGGGCCTCCTGGCCCAATGGGACTCACGGGAAGGCCAGGACCACTAGTGAGTAAATGTGATTGTTCAAAGCTGTCCTATAAATTGAGAGTAATAGGGTATATTTTTAGGAAAGTTTTGAGTTTCATACTCATCTCTATGCTGTGAATCATGGGTTAGCTTAGTAACGTCTGTGTACTGTATTTGGGCTGAAATGAAATATTCTTCAGCACATAACAGATTTCATAGAAAAAAAGTAGTACGTGGCACACAAGCATTTTTCTTCCATAGACATTGAAAAGAACTTTAATCTCCTGAAATTGTCTAAACTTATTTGTGCGCCAAGCTACAAATGATCTTAATAGTGTTGTATTGTGAATGTACAAAATTCAGGGATTGAGGAATGGAATGTTTCTGAAAACTTCAAGATATTCTAGTTCCTCTCCAAACCATGAAGTCTCTGGGTCATGCCATTTTGGGGAGAATTTAGCAGTTTTTAGAAATTCAGCCCTCCTTTGGAACATGCTAGGTCTTTCTAAAATGGCATAGACTAGGGAAGAATTTGTATGGTCTTGAAGGAGAAATTATTATGTTTTGTGAAACATAACCATTCCTGAATTGCTAAATTTTGTGTATTTCTATATTGATCTTAGGTATGGGATTTTCCCCATGCAACACAGAAGGTGCAAAGTGGGTAGAGAAAACCATACCGGGGTGTAATGTCTTTATCTGATTTCCCTTTATACTGCATTGTTGCTGATATCAGATAATAGCAGTTCACATATAGAAAATTAATTGGCTTAGGCAAATGTGGAGCTCCCACAGATATAGATGATAACAACTTTAGCTCCTATATTTTTTGCTCCAGACCATTCCCCCAAATTTACCTTATGCTGTGTGAAATCACAATTCCCCGTACCTCTCCATTAATGAATAGGAATTGAGTGTGTAGACGATATCATAATATGTATCACTTTCTGTTCAAGGAGAATCTAATGTTTTCAGGAGAAGAATGCCTAAATTTTCCCTCATATGTATTATTTTGCTGATTTTTTTTTAAAAAAATAACAGATAGAATAGTCTTCCTCCCCCATCAAATCCTGGATATATATATACCGTATACTGTGGTTGGATTGTTCATCTTTGGAATATTATGGAAGAAATTAACCTACTTACAATACGATTTCTGCAGGGTCTACCAGGAAAATCAGGACAAAAAGGGGATTCGGGTGACGCCGGACCCCAGGTTGGTTGCTGAAGATGGAGAGGAGGGGCTTGGGCTTTGCTGGTAGGGAATTCTGGGAGTGGAAATCTAACACCTCTGGAGGACACAAGGTTGGTAAAATGTGAAGTATAAAAATGCCAGCCTGATGTCCAGTTTCTTTTCCATTCAGGCTTTCTCATCCTTTTCTCTCTTTGTGCCTTCAAGCCAGTCTTGACTGCCATTGACTGCCTGGACTAATCCCTTCAGTTTTTTTGGCAAAATATTGTCAGTGGTTTTCTTCATGAATGAATGACTCATGGTCACCAAGCTGAGTTTGTTCCCAAGGTGGGACTAGAACTCAGTCTCCTGTTTCTAGCCTGGTGATTAACCATTAGATTAGAGGTGGGGAACTATGGCCCCTTTATGACTTGTGGACTTTAACTCCCAGAATTCCTGAGCCAGCCAGACTGGTTCAGGAATTCTGGGAATTTAAGTACACAAGTTATAAAAGGATCATAGTTCTCCACCCCTGCTTAGACCAAAGTGGCTCTCCCTCATTATTCTTGCACTTGTTTATCTGCTGTCCATTTTATAGTTTTGTACAGTATACATTTCACATTAAAATTTCTCTACCCTGATAGATTTACTTTGCCTATTATATTGTACTCTTCCTTATTGAACTGCATAAAAATTGAATCTGAATATGAAATAAGCAGTTTTGCAAAACAGATAATAATTCATCCCTTCCCTCAAACTTGGAACGTGTACTGTAGCCATTTTAAGCATGCTGATCTTTTCCCCTGGCATGCTCAGATGAGAAGGCTTTTAGGTTGTCCTTAGCAGACAGAATTCTGGCATTGGTAGCAAAGTAAGTAAAAGAGTCTTTTTTTCCATCAGTTTCTTTTTTCTTTCCCTCCCTCCCCTCATCATAAACATTTACCATTCATGGAATAAAAATACATCCCTAGGGTACAAAATTATTGAAGAAATGTAGGTCTTTTGCAAGATTTTCCTGATATATTATCTATTATACCCTCGTCCTACCACTGATTGATAGAAAATTATTTGTGATTTATTTATTTATGATTTATATTGTACCCTATTTCAGCCCCATCCTCCCCTTTAAAAAATGTATCATAAAATGCATTCAGAGGATAGAAAGAAATGAAATAAGATTAAACATACAGTAATTTTGGATTTTTGATCACCTACAATTTTGATAAGTAATCCGTAGCTCTCGCAAACAACTTTCAGGGTCCATAATCCATGGACATATCTTATAAATGGAAATTGAGAATTAACAGAGAGGACACTGTCTGGAAAATCTGAAAGTTCTCTTCTTCTGATCTAACATCAGGAAAGGAATGAAGTACTAAGTCTTTCTCAAGAATATGCTCCAAAGAGCAAAATTCCTAATGAGGAAGACTCCACCTTCTTGAATCAAAAGTTTGGGATACACACAAGAAGTCTTTCTTATGGGTCTGAAGAGATAAGTATTTATAGGAATAGGCTTTAAAATCTTCTCTTTTTCTGGAATAGTTTTATTATGTAATAACAAGTGTAATGTAATTGGTGATATTGATAGTTTAGATATTGCATTCTGGAGTCCTCCAGGAAATGGCACACTGAGTGGTAGGATAAATTTTTCTCCTGCTGACAAACAGCTGACTTTGGCAGCACACTCCCCAGATTTGAATGTGAGCAATTAGGAATGATTCAAGATGAATCTAGACAATCATGATTCTTGATAAGAGCGATTGGAGGGTCAGGTCTCCATCTTTTCCTGTCAGCATCTTTTTTAAGGCCTAGGTTTTAAACATCTTGTTTTGAATTTCTTTTTTGCTTTTGACTTACATCTTTAATGAAGCGTATGGTTGAATGCTGATTTATTTTTATAGCCCTTGCTATACTGTGAACTTTTTATCTTTTTTGTTGCTTTGCTTTGGATTTAAGAAACACTTGTTTTTGCCATGTTGAAACCAACAGTATAAAGATTTTCTCTTTGGTAGTGAAAGTGATGTGATTTGATTTATATCTGCACCACACCACTGCAAGGCTTTTGTATTTTACTAATTTTAAAAAGAACTTGCCTTTTTAAATTTGCTTTTGTATATACTATATTTCTGGTCTCTTATCTTTCTCTCTCTCTGATTAGATGGAAATTTTCTCTTTTGTTTCTACTTACTCTCCTTCATGGGAAATATTATCTTAATTTTTCCTGCGGACATTTTGTTATGGAATATCATTTTTTTTTTGTCCTTGAGAGGAATTGCCTATGTTTTGTTGTGAAAGTCCAGCTACAGTATAAAAGAAATTTAGACTATATTAAAAATGGAAACAACAATAAAGCCATATCAACGTAATCTCAAAGCCTTTTGGAAGCTTTAAAAAATGATTTTCAACTTACAAGCTCTGAGTGAAAATATAGATAAATTGTTTGATGGTTTAACAACAGTCATAAATCAATCTAAGGTTGATACTCAGATACAAATAATACAGCTAAATTAGACTTCCAATTGGAAATCAATTTGTTGCTGACTGAAGGAGAATGAGCTTTGTTTGAGAATTGCAGGCCTGTTGGAGAAAGCTGAAAGGGGTATGAAGGCTTAGAGATAGCAATAGGGATGAGTGATGAACTAGATTTTCTTAAGACAACTGATGGAGATTATGGAATAGTATATTCAGTCAGAAGACAACTGTTAAAGAGATGTTGTGGTTTAACTGGGTCAAAAAACTTCTGAACAGCAAGTGTTGTGGAAATACTCACAACAGAAAACTATGACTTTAGGGAATGAGATGGAATTGTTGGGAAATATCCCAGTTATAATTTTAAGGAAAAAACATTATTATTAAGAATCAGTCAAAGATATTTGACCCTGGACAGATTAGAGATGATGATTGCAGTGGAAGATTAGAAGCCATAGTGGGCTTTCTGCACGTGAAATGCAATAATAGATTGTCAACAGAGGACTTTGGAGTTTAGTTTTGTTAGCTTTACCTGTTAACTGATTTCCTCCCCCCCCCCAGTAAATATATGGTAGGTCAAATTAGTTGGGCAACTATTGCTAGACAAGTTTACAGATTGTAGGCCTGTTTTGCAAACTATTATTGTTGAAATATATTTATCAATATTCAATTAGGGGGCAATATGTGTGTATATTTTTTATGCATTTATACATTTTGGTTTTGTTTAGTTTTTGCTTTGCTTGTTGTTTTGATTTTTTTTTTTTGAAGTTTGTATTTTAATTTTGGAAATAAAGTTAAAATTTATTTTAAAAAAAAAGATGTTGCATTCTGGATTGGTAATTGTTTTTGGATCTTAATATAGCAGTAACAATAGCATTTAGACATATACCACTCCATACAGCAGCCACTTTTTACATATACCACTCTTTACAGCAATCTCTTACAGTGTTAGCATATTGCCCCCAACAATCTGGGTCCTCCTTTAAGGGACTTCAGGATGGAAGGCTGAGTCAACCTTGAACCCATTAGGATCGAACTCTAGACTGTGGACAGAGTTAGCCTGCAGTGTTGCATTCTAACCACTCCACCACCAGGGCTCCTTACAACTTTGTTCTTATCAGTAGGATAGGGCATCTATAAGACCTCCTTTCTGATAGATCTTATATTGATGTTAATGTAAAATATGTATTGCCACTAATGGCCAAAACTTCCAGATGAGATTTAAGTCAAGGCACATCATTTTCCCAAATGGAGGTGAATTTTCATATGAAAACAAACACACATAGAGCAACTGTTGGTCTCATTTATTTCAATTCTCATTACAGGGTTCCCCCGGGATACAGGGACCAATTGGACCCCCAGGGAAAATTGGCAAGCGGGTAAGCATCAGATACACGGATGGGTGCCAATCTGTAGGAATACTTGCTTTTGGCCCCCTTTTCTCACTCTTTTTTTCTCCTTTTCATTTGTTTAAAGGGTCGTTCAGGAGCTGATGGTGGCAGAGGACTCCCAGGAGAAACAGGATCCAAGGTTTTCTAAACCTTAATTGTAGGGTGGAATTCACATGAAGGAGGGGAAGAGAGCTCTGAGATTCCCACTCCCATGGTGGTTTGGTCTTTCCTGCAATAGCAACACAATCATGGGGTGCAAATAGAGCTGAATCAAATGTTGTTTCCACTTTCATGTTGAATTTGTTGGATTCAGGAGAAATGCATGCCGTGTAAAAATTTAACACCCCCCCCCCCACGCATTTCGTGACTGTGGCCTTGGAACCCATTCAGCACTCAAAGGAAATTGTGCAGGAAATTAAGAGGCGTCCCATTGAATCAGAAGCAGGCCCATCTAAGCCATCTAGTTTCCAAAATTTGGCCAGCCAGGCAGTTCCACAGGTACACAAACAGGGTAGGAAACCAACAATCTTTCCCCTTGTTGTTGATTCCTAGCATTTATTATTCAAAGATATAATTCTTCCCTGAACATGAATACTATTTGAAGTAGCTCATTGGCAACATATCTCCTTAACTGCCAAAGCCTTCACAGGTAAGAATATAGAAAACTGTGCAATTTGCCAACCTAATCTGTGATTTGTCATCAGCTGTCCTGGATTTTGGTCTCAATATACAAGAGACTGAAACTGGAGCCTTTTGCATATTTGTGTGTCATTTATCATTAAGTCATTGAATTCTCCTGTGTAGCCTTAAAAAAAATAATAATAAAGGAATGAATGGAGAGGATCCAGTGTGTGGGGGCTTTGTGTGCACAACTTCCTCTGAGCAATTATTAAGTACTGGAATGAAAAAATCAAAAGCTTTGGAAAATATAAATGTTTTTAGTATTTATGAAAATGAAATTCCATATACAAGTTGTGAGGCCAAACTGCACATAATCATAACTGCATAGTTCTATTTTTGAAGGCAGCATGTACCATATGCATTGTCCCCCTCACACACATATACACATGCACACACAAGTACTCTAGTATGTGGAATAAGATGACTTCAGCCCTTTGTCCCTTTGATACCCATAGTGCTTTCAATTTTCATTGCTCAAAAGGGGAAAAAATGCAGGGATCCATTCTTCCCTTCTCCCATCAGATCTTGTAAAAAAAAGAGATCTACTATAATCTTTACAATACAAGGATTAGGTCTCTGGGATATTCCATACACGCTACAACTCTGCATCCTTCATGGCTGACTCTATAGAATGGGGTTGATGGAAGTTGTAGTTCAACAACATCTGTAGAGTCTCACTGCTGACAAAGTAAGTCAATACTACATTTAATTTCCTGCATAGTGCACAAAGGGAGATGGGGGTGAAGCTGATTTAGTTCATCTGAATTGAAAGTTAAACCACAGAATTCCTGAATCTTATTTGTCTCAGCTGTTAGTTTCCAAGACATACACAGTCACAAAAATAGCAAATCCTTGCCTTTGGTTTACAATCCAACAAATTTAAACCTCTTTTTAAATTTTCAGGTTTTGCTTCCTTTTAAATTCTGAGGCACCATTGTTGCCTATCAAAACATGGCAAATAGATCATCAAGACAACATTGTCCTCCCCTTACTTTGCCCCCTCATTCTGTGCACCTATTTCTTGGGTATAATTTAAAATTTATGTTTTTTAAAAAACTGTTTATCTGGTAGGATTGCTCTAAGGACAAAGAGCATTGCTGCTGTAAAATTAGGCATGCAAATCTATCTATCTATCTATCTATCTATCTATCTATCTATCTATCTATCTATCTATCTATCTATCTATCTATCTATCTATCTATCTATCTCCATCCATCAGCTGAAAAACTGGTCTATATTTGTCAATAATCTGCTTTTTTCCTTTCTTATAGGGTGACCGGGGCTTTGATGGTCTCCCAGGACTCCCTGGAGAAAAGGGAAACAGTGTAAGACTACCCTAATATCTATACTACTGTCATCTATTTAAGCTACCACCAACATTCACTCTCCACTTTATTGCTTTGCAGGGAGATATAGGGAAGCCAGGCCTACCTGGACCTCCTGGAAATGACGGTTCTAAGGTACGCACTGATTCTGATAGAATATTTGTAGCTCAGGGTTGAACTGTGGGGTCCTTGGTACTCTCTGAGCTTCGTTGTTTTCTTGCAGACGTTTCATTAACAAACTAGGTAACATCATTAGTGCTAGTAAGGATTTGCTTTCATTTTATATACCAGTGGCTTTCCCTGTTGGTGTTGGTGGGGAGTGGACTTAGTGTTCTTTAATTAGGCTATTGTTTACTGTTAGCTTGGTTGTCTGCGTTGGTAGTTTCTTGACTGGAGTATTTGCTTCTTGATTGTTGGTCTAGTGTAAATCTTGGTGTTAATCTCTGCTTATCTGAATTTGATTGCTGGTGAGGAGGTGTTTAGGTATTTTTGTTTCCTTTTTGGCTTTTTGATTGTCTCTTTTGAAGAGTATGTAGATGTGGATCTCTGTGTGTCTCTTGATGGCTAATTTGTCTGAGTGGCAGGCTTCCTGGAATTCTCTAGCATTTTGGGACATGTCTTGGTCTAGGATGATCACAGTTTCCCAGTTAAAACTATGGTTAAGTCTGTTACTATGTTATGAAATTAGAGTTTTCATCATGCCTTTTGACTGCTAATTGATGTTCCTTTTGGCCCCTGTGGCTATTGCAGTTCTGACACTGTTATATTGTAAACAATTCCTATTTTTTCTTCTGGGGCTGCTGTGTCTTTTGGTTTACTTATGATATTTTGGAGGGCGTTGGCTGACTTGTGAGCTACAGTGATGGCATGTGGTTGCAACAGTTGGTTGGTAGTTTCTGAGATTTTTTGATATATGGCAGTGTTGTGCTTTTCATGGCTTGTGTTAGTTGTGCTATATTGGGTTGACTGAGTCAGTCACTTTTCGAAAAAGTTGCGTGGGCATCCATTTTGTTGCAAGACATTGCATAGGTGCTCTGTTTCCTTTTTCTGATGTTCAGGATTACTAGCACTGATGTTCAGGATTACTAGCACTGATGATGCTAGTTTGGTAATGAGACATCGGCAAGAAAACAGCCAAGCTCAGTAAGCATAGATTGAAAGTGGGGGTGAACTTTTAGATAAGGGTGGATGTTGCCTTGTAGAATAGTGTAGAACCTTTTTCTTGTAAAACTTTTAGAGCTAGGGCTATTTTTGACTTCTACAATAGTATAGCATTTTTATCTTGGAGAACATTTAGAGATGGAGTGTACTGTTGTCTTCTATAACAGTGGATTACACCCAATACTCTCAGCTCAGTTTGGGATTCCTAGAATCAAACCAATAAAATTCAGCATACGATTTACAGTATTTCAAAGATATTAAAAAACATGCTCTATATTTTGAGCATTTTCAGTATTTAAGCTTAACAGTTCTATTTCAAAATAGGGTAAAATACTTAAAACAAAAGAGTTAGCAGTAAAGTGGATTTTGCTTTTTTAATATTTTAATGATTTTAATGGTAAAGTAGCACACCTATTTACTTTTATTACTATCATATCATTGTAAGCCTAAAAGAGGCCAGAATTTCAGGCTCATTCAAAGCCAGCAATATCACAATTCCATTTTCTCCTACCCAGCAGCTCTGAATAACCAATAATAAGGTATCAAACAAAAATACAATCGCTGACTATTTTGTTTTGTTTTAATTAGAGTTATAGAAATAGGCCAAAACTTTTCCCTGTCCTGATTGTAATGTCACTCTGGCACCACTTGACAGCTCCCAGGATCCTCTTAAGACCGAAAAGTATGGTCCTCAGCAAAAGTATGACTTGCCCTGTTTTACAGCTATTTTTCATTTCAACCATCAAGGACTATGAGCCATTTGATCTGATGGTGGGTTTTCTAGTCCAGCGCATCAACTTAGGAGGCCTCCAAATCATGTGTCGTCATAATTCCATGTCAATTGACCAGGGATAACTGGAGTTGAAGTCTATCTCAGATGCCGCAGATGGACAAGACTGCCTTTAAAAGACACTATATGTTTAACTGAATTGGGTCCAACAAACATAGCCTTTACTGAAATAACAATAAAAGCAAGATATTTAAATGAATACTTCAAAACATCTAGGACATTTAAGTCACAGGCAAGTGACAGAGCAATGTACACCAAAGCTTAAAGCAATATTATACAAATAAGTATTAATATTATTAATACTTATAATTATTAAAAACTTTAAAATATTTTCATTTGACATACTTATTTTAATTAATATCACAAAAGGTGATATGGGAAACAGCATTTCTTAAGACGTTTATCAGGGATTCTAAAGTGAGGTGGGCCTGATAGCACTTTCTAGGAAAGCTGGTTTGCTTTATTTTTTTTTCTTACAGTGTGCGATAAATGAAGTGTATTCTGTAAATCATGTTTTTTCTTCATAGGTTTACGTTATGACCTGGTTAGTGCCCAGTGTCAATTGTATAGCTTCTCAGAACAACATCGAGAATCAATTGCAGCCTACATATGGATTTGAAAAATAGACAAAAAGACAAAATAATATTAGAGCATTGCAACTTTCCAGAACACTCCCTTATAGATCTCAAAGTAACCATCTTCGAAAAAAAATAGTTACTAGCACAATTGAGTGAGAGGTTATTAAATTCATATACATCACAAAGGTCTCAACAAACACAATGATTTTTAAACCAATTATAGTTGGTTTAAATAAAAGGTCTCAACAAACACAATGATTTTAAATCAATTATAGTTGGTTTAAATAAAAGGTCTCAACAAACACAATAATTTTAAACCAATTATAGTTGATAATTGAAATGTCTCCTATCTAACTTGTATTTGCATAATCATTCTGTCTTCCTCATCCTTTCCCCTCTTCCACCTCATCCTAATTTCAATCCTACAACAATTCAGCCCCTTGATGCATGTGATGAAATGAACTGTTCTTAGAAAAGCTTATATCTTTTCATAAAATTTATTGCTGTCAGACTCCTGATTTTTTAACAGTGGACAGATAGTAGTTAGCAGACAGATCCGTGGGACAAATAGTCTATGATGAAAGAAGAGTTGAAAACAAACACATATTGTTTTATACTTAAATTCTTAACTTCTTTTATTAGGTAGTCTGAAAATATTAAGGGTGAAATATATGGAATATAAATTATTTATATATGCTGATGTTAGTATGACTATTCCTGATAATTATGTGATGTCATTACCTATGTTTATTGAAGTCATATACAATATATTTTTTCCCCTCTGGTTATACTAATAATTGGAATATATCTGATTTGCTGCCTTTGGGATCTACTATGCCTCTAGATTATTCTAAAACATTAGAATTTACAATTCATACAATTTCACACAATACTTGGATTTATATCTTTTTTTGAAATACATCCCAGTACTGTGTCTTGAACTGAATATATCTAAATATATAGATACAGTTTCTGTTGATGGTTAAAACCATTGCATTAAGTCTTTGAGGCAAGATTGCCCTAAAATGAATATTACATTGAAATTAATATATATTTTAAGAAGGACTTCGTTGTTAATTACTAATAGATATTTTATGCAGAGAAGATAATAAGAACATTTTGTTATGGACAGCTAAAGCTTTATGACTACCATTAGCCAAACTGAGATTACAATAACAGCTGCTTCAAACTTCCAGATTTCCAATTATACTGTATCAATTGGCTTTTGTTTAAATATCTTTACTTTTTTTGAATGAGTGTTTTTATGATTATTCCTCTCTTTGGGCCAGGGCTTTTTTTCTCGGAGAAAAGGTGGCGGAACTCAAACCTGGCCACGCCCTCATCAAACCCTAGGACCGCCCCTTTAGAGAACAGGATGCAAGTAAAATTTGGGAGGGGCTATTTCCGGTGCGGCCGGCCCGGAAAAAGGTGCCGGAACGCAGTTCCGCCGCGTTCCGGCTGAAAAAAAGCCCTGCTTTGGGCCTATTTTGAGCACCAGCATATAACATTAATGAAATCTTGGCATGTTTTGGGGTCCAGGTGTTATGAACAAGGATATTGGTCTTTTAGCTTTGAAAGCTAAAGCATTTGGTGATTAATAAATAAACAATTAAGTTCTTATTTCAAATCACATGATAAATTGATGTTATGGAATAACCCACATTTGAAAATATAGGGAGATATACTTTATTGTGATGCTTGGGCCAAACAAAGAATCAAGACTAAATCAGGTGGCTTCTAATGTTTTTAAAGACTTTGAGAGATAGCATGTTGTATATGACTAACCTCTAACATTTGTTTGGAATGTATACAATTGAAATATGTATTAATGAAAGAATATGGCAACCACTAAAGTGTCTGCAATTTTGGGATTCTTAAGTGATGCACAACTTGGAAACTAACCACTCAATTTAATAAGTAATAAAAGAGTGAATTGAAAATATTAGCAATATATCTGAAGAATTGTCATGAAGAATGTGGTCCCATCTAGCTTGGGACATGGCAAAGATGATAGCTTTATATAACTTTAAAAAATTACTTAAAATTTCTGATTTTAAGGAATGGATCAAGGATACATGTTTCCTATCTATTTTTGTTAAATCTTTGGATTCTGAAAATGATGATTCAATGTGTTTATATATGCTCTAGATATAATGGTAAGTTGAGGTTCAAATTAATTTTATATTGCTATCTATAGTTATATGGATGTTTTGCTAGTTTTTTTGTAACAGTTACTGTAGTTTATTTTAATCATTTCCCCCCCCCTCTCTCTCTCTCCCTCCCTCCCTCCCTCCCTCCCCCTCTCCCTAATGTACCTCAAAGGGTTGCTGTTGTGGGGAAAGAGTTTGCCACTTTAAGTTATTTATAAAAATATTAAAGGCCGGATAAAAATTAAATAAACAAGAACTACAACTACACAATATTTTAACTGCCACGGCCCCTTGGAAATGTAATGCCAATGTTTATCTTTGAGTTAAGTACAGAACTTGTAGTAACCTTAAAGCACTCAGAATACCTTCCTAGGAATATAGAATGATTAAAATAAACTACAGTAACTGTTACAAAAAACTAACAAAACATCCATATAACTATAGATAGCAATATAAAATTAATTTGAACCTCAACTTACCATTATATCTAGAGCATATATAAACACATTGAATCATCATTTTCAGAATCCAAAGATTTAACAAAAATGACAAAGTACTGATTATATTTCCCACTTAGAGTTGAATCTTCTCTGATGGATTTGTCAAAGTAGCCTCAGCTGTTTACTCATTTGGTATCCAGTTTGAATGTATCTTTTTTAAAAAACAAATTTTATTAATTTTCCAATTTTACAAAAATCCAAATATTAAGGAAGCAGTGTGGTGATTGGGTAATCAATAGTCCAATAACAAAATATTTATACGTGTCTCAGGTTACATCATCAAGAATTCCCTCTCTATTTCCCTTGATTATTATATCACATTCAAATTAACAGATTGCTAATTATAACTCAATCAGTTAAGACAGTTATCAATATATTTTAACTTGTACATATCTGTATCCTGTTTTAAAATTTTACTTAATTTCAATTACAGTGTTCCAAGTTAGCTTAACATTCATTGTAGCTAGATTTCGGGTAACCCAAATTTCCCTTATTTCATTACAAAATAGTTGTCATATCTAAAATACACATATTGTTTACTTAAATAGATTCTTACTTTATTATACAAATATATTCTATTTCTCATCCTAGTACCTCATCACTTACTAATAACGTATCCTTTATTGTCTCAATCCAACTTCCATATTATAATTCAAAATTATTATTCTAATGGCTATTTTTTATTTCCCTTGTAAATCTAAGTCCTAAATGTTAACTCAGTTAATATCTTTTAAAATCTCCTTAGCCCATTAAGTAAGATTTTAAGCTCTTCCATTATAAGTAAAAAAATCCCATTTTTAAAATCTGACTCTAGCTTTCTTTTTGTGCCAAGCAGGCTTCCATGCCAGTACCTTTAAATCCTCAGGTGGGTCTCCCTTCATTCCTACACATGTTATTTGAATCAAGGGAGACCATCCAGTTATCAATTTTTCAAAGGAACTGGCCCTTTTGTAATCATTGGATCGTTGGCCTAATAGTTCAAATCTCCATGTTTGGTTTAGTATATTTGTCATCAGCTCGGTCTGGTCTTCTTCTTCTTCCGGTTTCATCTGGCTTAAGTAAGAAGTCATGTCCAATGTTGTGATTGTTGTTTGATTGTCTAGGTTGTCTAGGTTCTCAATATGCTGTGCTTGTTGATCTTCAGCACCCTCCATCTTAGTGTTGCTTTCTTCACTTTTTGTTGTTTTTTGAATTGCAGATTTTTTAGTTGAAATCAAGGTTTGATTATCAAAGTTCTCAGTAGATTGTACTTGGTGCTCTTTAAAGTCCACTTTGATATTAATTTCTTCTTCTTCTATTGCTTTTTGGATTGTAAGTTCATCATTTGAAATCTGGGCTTCATTTTATAAGTTTAGGGTGGTACCTTTGTCTTTCAATCTGGAATTTATTAGCTCAGTAGCTTCAAGGATTTTTTTCAGTATAAGTTTATAGTTAAGTTGTGGGTAGTATTCCTTCATTTCTATGGTGTTTACAGATAGTCCTTTAGTGGAGACTATTTTTGATAAAAGTCAGTGAATGTCCACCTCCACTATTCCTAGAAGTTGTTTTCATCACCCAGCTGTTTCAAGTTCTTATCTTTTTTAGATAGTGCCAAGGACAAATCTAGGTAGTTAGCAGGTCTCACAGTCAAAGAAATTCACTTGCTATACCAGGCTTCACCACAAGATGTCCCCTATAGCATGTAAAGTCTTATTCCAAACTCAAGTTAGGCTTTTATCCAGTTTAATTTTTTTCCCAACTTAACAAGTAGATAAGGTAATAGGTCCCCGTAGAAATGGGAACTTTTTGGGACCCCAAATATCCAGAGAGTGCAAGTCCAGTTTTTTAGTTGTTTAGTTTAGTTATTCTTTTCTTTTCTTTTCAAAGCTTTAATTTCCCAAGTAGGCAGACGCCGCCATGTTAAAGGGAGGGAAGAAATATCAAAAGGTTTTTACAGGAAGGTAGTTGGGGTACAAGAAAGGTAAGGTAAGGTCTCACCCAATTCCTCCGTGGTGCTTTCGTTGTGCTTGGTGGTGATTTTGGCTTTCGGCTGGTACGGCTTAGTGATCGGCCATGTTAATGGCTGATCTTTTCTCCGTTGGTCCAAAGGAGCTGCCTCAGATCAAATGGAAGGGCTGCTGCCCTTCCGCGATCTGTCGAGGGTCCTCCTTGCAGTCGTCGCCCCTCCAGGGTGACTTTCGACCCTTTTCAGGGTCTCCCGACAAAGGAAAACCAGACAGCGGAGAGAGCGCTCCCTCCGGAGGTCTGCCGGCGTCGCGATTGCAAACTGGAAGCCCAGTTTGAATGTATCTTAACTGGGGGAGTAGGTGAGTGGAAAGAGCCTAACCTAATATCTCATTTTCTCATTTCTTCCTTGTTTTTAAAGGGCTCTGAAGGTGTGCAAGGGCCCAGAGGACAGCCTGGGGAAGCTGTGAGTATCTGTCTACCTACCAGGAATAAATACATTGGGTTTTTTGAGATGGCATCAAACTAAGCCATTTTAATGGGGCAGTAACAAGGGTACAGCTCTCATGCCTTTCTTCTTCAATGGAACCAAGTTTCTGGCAAGCATATTTCATTGAACAATGTTCCTCAAAGTCTTCTACTATAACCATATTTTCTCCTAGGGTGTACGTGGTTTGCCAGGCTCGCGAGGTAATCCTGGTTCTCACGGCCAGCCGGTATGAATTTCCCTGTCCCCTTTTATTCAAAAGAAGATTTGAGCAGGGATTGAGCAGGCAATTGCTTCAATGAATGGGAAGAATTTCAACAGGAAAAATGTGTATAAGTCTTAAATACTGTTAAAGTTTTGAAATTTAACCTGAACATAAGATTTTGAGCACTACTTTTGAGCACTACTTAGTTTTTGAATTCACAATTAGGTTTTAAGTTCTTTTTATGATATTGCAGTGTGTAATGGTGAAAGCCCAAAACAGATATATTGTCTGGGTCCATATGTTACACTAAGATATATTTTCATTGAACCATTGTTGGTCGGATTCATACACATTGGTAAGCCACAATCCATGGTTTATAAATTAGTAGCTGGGTGTGCATATCATACAAAAAAAAGAACCTAAAGAAATCATATGAGTTAGAATCATCATCACATTAAACTATACTTCATTTCATTTTTATGTTAATGTTCTAGTTTATTTATTGAATAAGTGACAAATTCCTGAATTTGCATAGTACTCAAAGCTAATGCCAAGTGCACACATTTAATTTAACCCAAGAAGTGAACCTAGCTAATATAATGTGAAGTTTGAACCTACATGTCTGATCTTTCAGTAATAGTATATTAAGAGTATGTGGCAGACTCTTTCTCATCCTTATTTTCCTCTCTTTCATATGAAAACATTTAACATTTTAATCATGGTGTAAAAAAAAAATCTGAATAAGTATCAATCACAATTTGCCAAATTCAACATCACCTGTTTATTTAGTTTGCGCGTTTTACCCTTAAATATAATCTCAGTGGAGCCATAACATGCATCATTAAGGTAAAGCATGGAAGAGAGAAAATTATGAAAAAATGTTCCTAAAGTCAGGACTAGATTAGGAGATAGAAAACATTAATGACTGTGAAGGAACTAAGAGACAGAAGTCAATTTGCTAAAGTAGATGAATGTTCTTTGTCATCCATTTCTATCTATCCCATCATATTTTCCAAAATGGACACAGAATAATTAGGGTTAGAATTTTAGTTTTCCAGTTTGGACTTGAAAAATAGTTTCATTTTATATTATTCTGAACAAAAATCTCCCTTTAATTTTCATGATCTTGTTGTTTACCTCTCATAGGGTATCACTGGTATTGATGGTGCTCCTGGGCCTAAAGGCAACATGGTAGGTAAGCACAGGGAATGAGGACTTTTCCTTAGTATATGGTAAAAGGGTTGTTTGCATTTAGCAGAGAGATATGAATAACAAATGAGATTTAGGGAGGTGAACATTGTTAAGTTATAAGGTCAGAAATGGCTGAGTACATGCGGTTAGAAGGCTGAAGGTCTCATACCTCAATCCTTGCCACCTTGTGTCTTCAGATCTTGCCTCTGTTTTAGGTCAAAGTTTTGGTATTTCCTGTTGTCACTATCTATCTTCTGGGGGGGGGAGTTATCTGACACCCTTCCCTTCAACCTAGTGCAGGGATAGGCAACCTTGGCTCCTTTATGACTCGTGGACTTCAACTCCCAGAATTCCTGAGCCAGCCATGCTGGCTCAGGAATTCTGGAAATCCACGAGTCATAAAAGAGCCAAGGTTGCCTACCCCTGACCTAGTGTATAAGAGATATAGGGTTCTCTTATTCTGTATTGTCTTTCTGATGTCTAAAAGATATAAAGTACAAAAAATAGAGGTTTTAGCCATTCTTCCACCTGCCCCATGGGAGATTAACCAATGTCATAGGACTTAAATAAAAAAATAAAAAATAAAAATTGAAGTAAAATGTAATAACAAATATTCTCTTTTGAACTTTAAGATTGAAAGTATAGATATTTTGTGATGCAGGAAATATATACTGCTTTCTTAGAAAATAGAGTATACAAGACAAGACAGTACTCCAGGCAAATGACAAGATGGTGTTGGTTTTCTACAAATCAAGATTTTTTTTTGTCAGAAAGTTATCGATCCCAGAAAACCTATGAAATAAAGACTTCAAAGAAGCAAATTTGAATAGTGCCTCAACTATGAATGAAGGCTAAATTGCAGACAATTGTTTAGCTTGTACAGAGAAACAAAATCATTAAATTTGGTGTAATACTACAGTGAAAAAAGAAAAGAACAATTTAATGCAAAAATAAGAGAAAACAATTGAGTGTGATTATTTCTACAGAAATAACCATTTCTTGAAACAAAATGCCTTTTTTGTAGTCTGCCAAGTTTGAATCTGAGGCTGGTGGGTGATGATATCAGCCTTTTCTACTCTCTGCTTTGGTTCATTTACCATCAGGCCAGCCTAAAACTTTTAAAACACTTAATAAAGAGCACATTTCCTCAAAAATATAGGGCGAGCAATTAAGCCTATCTAGCAAGCAAGGATGATGTATTCACAATATAAGAGAATATACAGTATGTTGTCAGAGTTGAATTGTGGAATCCTTGGTGCTCTCTGAGCGTAGCTGTTTGCTTGCAGATGTTTTATTACCCAACTAAGTAACATCATCAGTGCACTCACAGTATATAAATATTAAACACAAACTAGTATCCACTTTGATTTCCTGCTGTAATACTTTATATTGATCCAATCTACCCTGCCACATCACCCCCAAAGGTTAAGTAAACTGGTCCTGATGTAGCCCTCCAGAGGTCAAGTAGACTGGAAGGCAGTCAGCCATGGTCAAGTCTGTAGGAAATAGGAAGTTGTTCCTACTCCCATTGCTTTTTTGTCTTTGGTCATTCTGTTTCTGTTTACGTAAAGAAATATCTCTGAAATGATGACCCGACAGGTCACAGGTTGCCTAGTTCAATCTAAGAATCTTCTGAGAAGATTCTTCTAGAGCAGAACCTGAGAATATATCAATCTTCACACCAGCCATTGAAGTTTGATTTAGTAGACTAATTTTAAAGGGGACAAGATATAACATAAATGGAGTTCCAGTCTGGCTAGAATGTTACTGTCCTGATCCAAATGCTATTTTTTTAAAATAAATTACTTTAATTGAAGAATGCAGCTCATCCTATTTTCTTTTACAGTATATATGTGTATCTTGTAGAAATATAAGGGAAGTGGCTATATTCATAAACAGTGGAAATGTGATGTAGTGGATTTTTTTAAAAAAAAAAAAAATAAGCATGGCAGTTTAATTCATGAAGAAAAAAAGATATAATTTAAATATTCCATGTTATAATCTGGAAAATTATATGTTTCCAAATATTACTAGCATAAAATAGTCTTCAATTAAATAGAATTTTTCTAAAGCCATATTTTGCTCATATCATCCAATTCTTTTCCAATGCAAAACAAGGTCTACTTAAAATCAAGACAACCAATTTTGTAAATCTGGGTTTCTCTTTTGTCTTCAGTGTCCTTGGAAGGACATTTTTAAGTACTGTCATTTGTTCTGAAGTTGAAGTTATGTTTGTTCCTTCAGCAATTTAAATCTTTTGCTGGATTTGCCATGTGAACAGAACATTTGATCTTTTACTCCCTTTTATTTTAACCGAAGGAAAGTAGAAATTAAAAAAAAATGGTAAAGAAAAATTAAAAATGCAGCAGATTGTAATAAGCATACATGTTTTTGAAATATCTTAAAAACAATATACTTCTAAACTTTAGGCCTGTGCTAAGCACATCTGGTTTTGTTTCTCATATTTATTTGTTCAGTGCAACAAAATACAGGGAAGAAATTATGTAAAGGGTCTCAAGAGTCTGTTAGTATGTCTGTCTATCTTTCTATTATTAGGACCCAGAACAGATTCAAAAAGGGCTAAATTTTGTGTGCTAGGAGAACCAATCAAAGAACATTTGAATTGAACAATGGATTAAATTGGGGCTGGGGTGGGGATATCTAATATATCCTTATGGGAGGGGCGGTTGGCCAGCAGTTTGGAATGCTGCCAGTTCCCCATTCTAAACCTGATGGTGAAGTCCAACAATTACTGGGATAGAATGAAAATAAACGTTAATGCTTTTTCAATTATACTCTTCCATACTGAATCATGAACGATAGTTTTCCACAACAAATAGATATGTGCAATCTGTATTCGCATAGGAGAAGAGGGTTTGTTTGCTTACTTACTTACAATAAAATGTTTATACCATGATTCTCAGCCAAACTTTTAATCCTAAGAAACGTACTGCAAACAAAGCCTAGTCCTCAATGAAGAATTAAGAAGTAAGACACAATACCCTAGCATCAGAGCATTGGTTTCCCAAAAGCTTTAGAAACTGGATCTTGACCTTCTCCAGATGTTTCATTCTTCAAGTCTCTGCCCTCTCCACCTTAGTAATTTTACTCATTGTGTCACAGCTGTTGTCTCTTCCATTATGACCTATGTAAGCATGTATATGCACTGAACATTGGCTGACTTTAGGGTTCTCTATCTTCAGGGCATTCCAGGTGAACCAGGCCCATCTGGGCAACAAGGAAACCCTGGATCTCACGTGTGTATTTTCTTTGCATGTACATGTGGAAGGCTGGGATGTAGAGGGTGGGGATAAACATGAGCAGGTCATTTGCTGGTGAGTCTGTTAAAAAAAACAAACAGGGAGGAGAGTATTACATGCATGATTACAATTTTTGTTACTTTAGTGAAATGTGCCAGTTAACCTTTTTTTCAATCATTATTATATTGTTAATATTCTCCAATCTCCATGTGGGCTATTATTAACCCCAGGAGGACAGTTCCCACTAGTGTCTAATTTGATTCTGACTGTGAAGTTTATTATCAACTGGGTTCATAGGGTAAGGACAGGTACAATATAAAAATAGTTTGGAAAATATTAAAGTACTAACTTCATCCGACTGTGGTAGGGAGGCAGATCAGCACATTGAATAGTCATGTTACTTGTTTCATCTATATCAATGCAGGGTAAAGTGCACCTAGTTAATTTTAATTATGTCATCCAAATAGACCATATTTCTGTGTCTGATCATCAACCTTAACATGGAAACTTTAAAAAAAACGAGCATTAAGAGAGAAGCTTGTGCTGTGCAGTTCTTTGAAGAGATGTTTCACTTTCTTGATAATGGAAGTGAAACACTCCCTCAAAATTGCCCAAAGAAGCAATATCGTTCACTTGCATCTAAGAACAAATGAAGTAGCCATGTTGTCTTCTCTTGCTGTCCTTCAGAACCCATTTCTGCCATCTCCTACAGAACTCATCCAATGGGAGAACGCTAAAAGAAGTCTTCTTCAAAAAACTAAAAGAAATGGCTAAGGAGCTTTCTTCTACTATCTACTTCTTCTAGGAAGTGCTTCTGAGCTAGATACCTTCAGCAAATGCTATAGGAATGTCTAGCTTGGAATGTCCTTGGTGTACAGATGGTCTTCACTTAATGATGGCATTTAACAACTGGGACCAGCAATTCCATCGCTAAGCAACACGATCGTAAAGCATGACATTACATGACTGCACCAGCTTAACAACAGCAGTTCCATAACTAGGCAAATTCCACGTTTATTAAACACAGTGTCACTTGGTTGCCTTTTGCAACTTCTTGGCAGCTTACCCGGTGATTTTGCTTGTCAGAAGCCAGTGATGAAGATCTCAAGTGGTGTTCATTTGACCACAGGATGCTGCAACATCATAACTGCAAGCCAGGTACCAAGTACCTGATGTGGCTATGGAAGCACTGTGACAGTTACAACTATAAGGAACCATTGTAAGACTTCTCATTCAGTCCCATCAAAACTTTGAGGATGGCCTGTATGCAAAAGGACTTCTGGATTGGCTAGGTTTGAAGGAATTTCAGGCAGTCCTAAAGCATTTACTCTGGGTCACTTGCCAAAACCTTTTGTTCGTGGTTTAGAGAAGGCAAGCAGCATGTTCTCTGCAGCACTCATCAGAGGAGACAAATAATTTGGGGGAGGCATTGCTTGCCTCCTCCTGTGGCAAATGCTATGTAGCAGGCATCACTTAGGTTCTTCAGAATATTTAGTAAAAATTTGCAGGGTACAAATCTCCAGATCTGCATCACACACCAGAAGTAGGCAACTGAGTTCACTCAGCATGCCCAGAATATTTTGTCTAAAAAGTTCTGGATAGTTTCTGTACATGCTGCAGGCAATCCAGAAGAGATGGCTGAAAGTAACTTTATCTTTTTTTTCTAGTATAAATTGATTTGAGACAACCAAATTGCTAGAGCAAAGTGATTACATTACCTCTGCAGTGAAAACTATTTCATCAGAGAAAGAAACTAATCAATGCTCTGCAAATTTCTGCACAAAATATGGCGGTGTGTGTGTGTGTGTGTGTGTGTGTGTGTGTACCATTAAGAATTTATCTTTTCAGGGAAATAGATATATTGGAACTGAAAGGACATTTCCAAGATAGTCCCAGGACTTTGAAAACAATAACTATGCCTTATCCAGAGAAATGATGATGATGATGATGATGATGATGATGATGATGATGATGATGATGATGATGATGATAATTCTTGTAAATTGTCACATTTCTCCACTCTGCTTGGTTTTTCTCCCCTAGGGTTTGCCCGGTCCTCAGGGCCCCATTGGGCTTCCAGGAGAAAAGGTGAGATGGAATTAGGGAGTGTCTAACTGAGTGGAAGAATTAGAACTAGGCTGAAAATCCCAAGTTTCAGGGTAGTTATAGCAGCAGGCATCAGAGTTCTACCACTGGGATCTAATGCAAAAGACTGCTGTGCAGAGAAATTTGTTTTAACCACCAAGATCAATGTGATTTTGTAGCACTTCCACCTAATAATCCTCCAAGATTTCTTTATTTCAGCCGTGTAATATATGGTGGGAGAGGATTACATTTTGTTGCTGATTTTGTTTCTGTAGTTTGGAAGAAAAAGTCCAGCTTAAATCTGGTACAAATTCCTCAGAAATCTGCCAGTGGCTCCCAATCTGCACTCCTACTCTGTCAGCATATCCTTAGTCACATGTTTGACAGGAGATATGAGAACAGATAGAACTATATCACTCAATCCATTGTCACAATTCAGATTGTCCTACCCAGCTTTCTGATCATCTCCCCGCACTTTCTTTTCATAGGGTCCACCAGGAAAACCAGGAATACCAGGACTGGCTGGAATGGATGGACCTCTGGTAAATGCCAACATTATTAAAATCTTCATGAACATGGTACTCAAAGATGAAACCAGGCCAGTTTTCCATATTTTACTATATATAGACAATACATTAATATCTGAGAAGAGGTGAATGATGTAAACATGTAGAGATCTACACTTGGAATGGTACATTATGCCCGGAAGAAAACCTAGCTCCATGCCTTCTCTTTTCTATTGACCAATATACTTTCCTCGTGCAACTGCTTCATTGTGGTGAAGTACATTGAAGCAAGCATTCATAATACAGTTACTTCACAAGACTGTCTCTTCTATTGCTTTACAGGGGCACCCTGGAAGAGAAGGGCCAGCTGGAGAGAAAGGAGTTCAGGTAAAAAGAAAGAAAAAAGCCTGCATCTGATAGGCAGAATTAAAGCTTGCTATAGAGGCATATAAAATATTTACTCTAGAAAAGGGACTTTTTTTCCAATCTCTCATCTTTTTCCCAATGCAAAAAAATTCCAAATCTTCAGAAACAGTTGGATTTAGGGACTTTAAGATTGCAGCAAGGGTGGGAAGGGAGGCTGCCTGACAAACCTGTTTTAAATGTCTTTCTCCTTCAGGGTCCATCTGGTGCAGCAGGGCCAGTTGGTTATCCAGGTCCACGAGGAGTCAAGGTAAAGAGATACCACTTTCCGTCATTTTTCACGAATAAACATTTGGACTGAAATTTCTTCTCTTTCTCTCTTTCTCTCTCTCTCTCTCTCTCTCTCTCTCTCTCTCTCTCTCTCTCTCTCTCTCTCTCTCTCTCTCTCTCTCTCTCTCTCTCTCCCTCCCTCCCTCCCTCCCTCCCTCCCTCTCCTCTCTCTCTCTCCTCTCTCTCTTTCTCTCTCCTCTTTCTCTCTCCCTCACTCTCTCTCTTTCCTCTCTCTTTCTCTCTCTCTCTCTCTCTCTCTCTCTTTCTCTCTCTCTCTCTTTCCTCTCTCTCTTTCTCTCTCTCCCTCCCTCTCTCTCTCTCTTTCCTCTCTCGCTCTCTCTTTCTCTCTCTCCCTCTCTCTTTCTCTCTCCCTCTCTTTCCTCTTCCCCCCCTCTCTCCAGCCTCCCTTTATTGCCAGTCTATTTTTAATTATTTATATATTCATGAAATCAATATACATAGCTACCTAGTTGACCTGGCCAGGGTGGAGTACACAATTAGAAACAGCAAATAACAACAACTACAAGAATACAGTAAAATATAGTAAAATACATTGCACCAAAGGCTATGTCAAACAAAGAAACAATCAAGATGGGGTACAAAATCTTCCAATTCTGTCCCAGGGGAAGAAAAACAGGTATTTGGAAAGTATCTGAAAAGAAGGGAGGGTCAGGCCACCTGGATCTCAAGGGGATGGTGTTCCATAGGCATAGTGACAGAAAAAGGATGTCTCCTGGGTCCTGCTAGAGGATACTAGTTAAGTGAGAGGACTTGGACCTAAAGCCCCAACACATACGCCATTCTTGTCAGATATTATCAGAGAGGGGAAAAAATTGAAGACAGACAGTCCCGCAGACTCTGTTTCACTAAGGAGTTTGTAGATAACAACCAGCATCTTGAATTGTACCTGGAAGACTACTGGTAACCAACATAGCTTGCAAATACTATACTTGTGATGTTATATGGATGCACTGAGGTGTGCTCATAACTACTTACGCATTTGCATTTTTTGAGTGGTTTTCAAGGGCAGCTGCATGTAGATTTACAGTATTACAGTAGTTCATACGTGAGATGATTAAAGTATAAATCACTGTGAGTAGAGTCTCCTGATTCAGAAATGGGCATAATTGCTGCACAAGATGAATTCATGCAAAAACTCTCCAAGCCAGGGTTGCTACCTGCTATTAACATAAATGTCTATGGAGATTCTCAGTCATCCAGATCATGGTTGTTCCAAAGGTGCTTTTTTTGAAAAGGCAACTGGACTTTGTTTTTCCTTGAAGATGTTTTGCTTCTCATTCAAAAAGCTTGAACTGAAGATGCGTCTTGAATGAGAAGTAAAATGTCTTCAGGGAAAAACCAAGTCCAGTTGCCTTTTGAAAAAAGCATCTCTGGAATGCTCTTAACATACCATCCGTGAGTCTAGGAGGGCCCCTAAACTGAGCAAAAACCCTGTTTGAGCTAGTGCAATCCCATCCAGAACCAAAGATGGATAGTCTCGTGATCCAGGTAAAATCCACAGTCGCTTGGTCTGGCTAAAGTTTGGTTTGAGCCTGTTCTCCTCCATCCAGACCTCCCCAACCGCCAGACTTTGAAACAGAATCTCAATGGCATTGCTCAGCCAGCCAAGGTTTGAGTTGTAGTATGATATCCAACCCTATGCTAATGGATGACTTAAGTGAGCAACCTCCAGTAGAAGCCAAGCAGAGGCAAGAACACCCAAAGAAGGTCATCTAAAAGTCAGATGATGGCTGCAGCCATGCAGTCAAAGCTTGCCTTGTCCTAAAAGTTGAATGCTTTTCTTCACAGCAAAGAACTGAACTGTCAACCTTCAGAATTTAATAGTCACTGCTTGGACCTACCTTTCTGTGTGTAGCCATTCACAGCATGTAGCTTCTTGCCTGTAATCAAGGCTTCTATATCAAAATAAATGTTTAAAGTTGGTTTCTATTTAAAAAAAATTACCTTATCATTGTTTTCCTTTTCCATAGGGGGCCTTTGGAATAAGGGGCCTCAAAGGCAGCAAAGGTGAGAAGGTACGTCTCTGAGGAGAGTACAAGGTAATATCAGAGAATGGGTTCCATAGATTTCATCAAATTTAAGAGAGCATTTCACTGCTCCTGCTTTCTCTGTGTTGCTAACATGCTATTCTAGAACAGATCACGAACATTTAACTGGAGTAAGTGGAACAGGTATTACATCTTTTGACCTTCTTCCAATGCAGAAATTGTGGCATGCACTTGATCTGAGTGTTGAGGTTCCATCTGGGTATAAAGCCTTAAAAAGTAGTTCTTTTGAATTTTTATGTTAGTTTCTAGATTGCAACAAATTAAAATTTAGAGTTGGGTAATAAAGTAACTTTGTTAGGATCAATTCACCCACACATCTTGATACGATACGATACGATACGATACGATACGATACAATACAGACCAATATCTGTAACTCAGGTGTAGGATGAGGGTGAATGTTCATTCTCCAAGCTTGTGGGTTGGTTTCTGAACATTTCGTTACAAGTCTAGGTAACATCTTCAATGGCGTTTAGGGGATGTTAGTGTCAGTGTTCTGTTTATAAGGGCTTCAGGTTTGGGTGTGTCTTGTAATGGCTCAAGTATGAGTCATCAGTGAGAGACTTGTGATGGGTCTTGTGATGGAGAGGTTACATCAAGTCAGGGTATTTGGGAGGTGAACTGCTGAGAGGGGCTTGCGTGGGTTGGTTGAGGGTCGGTGTTGTCTCTGGCTGGCTGTGCAATTGATTTGGATTCTGAGGGGTTCGTAGGCTGGCTGTAGGCTGATGTGTCTGTTGGTGGAATTGCTTGTGGAATGCCAGGCTTCGATGAACTCACAAGCAGGGTGGGTGGTAGTGTGGTCGATGATTATAGTGTTGCTCCAATCGAACTGGTGTTGTTTGGTGTTGGTGTGGGTAGAAATTAAGGATTTGGGATCGTGACATTTGACTGGTTGGCAGTGGTACTTAGCCTGGTAACAAAACATTTGGAAACCAACCCACAAGCTCAGAGAACAAATCTTCACCCTCAAATACATACATACATACATACATACATACATACATACATACATACATACATACATACCGGAGCAGAAAAATATTCTGGTTATCAGCTAGAGATGATTTAGATAGAATAGAATAGAATAGAATAGAATAGAATAGAATAGAATAGAATAGAATAGAATAGAATAGAGCTGGAAGGGACCTTGGAGGTCTTCTAGTCCAGCCCCCTGCTCAAGCAGGAGAACCTATACCATCTCAGACATGACTGTCTAGCCTTAAAAACCTCCAGGGATGGAGCTCCCACGATTTCTGAAGGCAAGCTGTTCCACTGGTTAATTGTCCTCACTGTCAGGAAGTTTCTCCTTAATTCCAGGTTGCTTCTCTCTTTGTTCAGTTTCCAACCATTGTTTCTTGTCCTGCCCTCTGGTGCTTTGGAGAATAATGTGACCCTCTCTTCTTTGTGGCAGCCCCTCAAGTACTGGAACACTGCTATCATGTCTCCCCTATTTCTTCTTTTCTTTAGACTAGCCAGACCCAAGTCCTGCAGATGACCTGGATAATATTTTATAGCAAAATATTGTCCACATTTGAAATTCATCCAAATTTTAGAATCTCCTTTCCTAATATAATTCAGTATGTTGATATCTGGTTTTGAAAGATTTCTTTTCAGTATTATCTTTGAAGTTCTGACTAACAAATTATTTCTTTATAGTTTAAAATCCTTATATTCAGACAGTAAGGTATAACTGATAGATTGACAAGAGAATATAATTTCAGATTCAGGCAGAGACATTTTAACTAGCAAGTCTACTAGACAACTGTTCCTGTCTTTAGAAATATTTATGTTCTTTTTTTTTAGGAGGGGGCAAAAGTTAAAAATGTAGATTTGAAGTAAAATGAATTTTGCACACCATTAAAGCATATGATTCTTCCTTTATATTTCAGCAGTAAAATAAGATTGACATTTTTATTATTCTCATGTTTTGACCTTTCATGGGTTCCTAGGGTGAAGATGGATTCCCCGGCTTCAAAGGTGATATGGGGCCCAAAGGTGATCGGGTGAGCAATATTCTTCCCAATATTCCCAGTATGAAATATGTCAGGAAGCTTTTAAAAGAAGGCATGAACCACCACTGAGGCTTTAGAAATTCATTCCTTACTGTTAGCATTTATGGTTGATTTTATTACACAATTTTAAATAGAAGATAAAACCAACAAAAACCAGTATAAAGTAAAGGAAAAGGGAAAAGACAAAAGTACAAAAAGAAAAGATAAAAAGAAATTGAAGCCTCCCAGTTCTTTTGCAAAAAATACAAGTATGATTACAAAATTATCCATTACTCTATGTTCACAAAAAGAAAAATTCTCTTTTTAATATCACCTAGTTATTTTCTAATCACAAAAACCACAAATCATTTTTTTCTGTATAATGCAAAAAGTCTGTAAGTCAGCCATAAATGTAGATGTTTCCTTTTCTCTAATCAAATAAGCTAATCTAGGTACATCTGCAGGTTCCACCATCTTCATCAATCATTCCTATGTTGTTGGTAGTGTCAGGTATTTTCACTTTTGAGCATATAATAGTCTCATTGCATTTGTTATATATGAAACAAAATTTCCATGACTTTTTTCTAGTTGCCTGTCCATTAATCTCAAAGAAAAGCTTCTCATTTCAATGTTACTTTAATCTTTAAAATTTTCTGAATTAATATATGTATGCAACATTTTTTGACTGTTTTTACACATCCACCATAAAATGTCCTTTGATGATGTTCCCATTTTCAACAAAGATTCAAAGTAGCTTTATGCATTCTATACAATTTCTCTGGTGACAAATGCCAATGATATATTATTTTATAAAAATCCTCTTTAAAATTAGAAACCGATGTAGATTTCAATCCCATGAAAAAATGAAGCCTCTACCTATTAAAAATAATTGTTCAAGGAAGAATCTTTCATCCCAATATTAGAAATCCGGAAGGAATTTTTCTTTTTGGAAAATTTTTGTAACACAAGACAAGGATTCTCCATCCTGGCATTAGATACTATCAAATAAATAAAATTACCAGTTCAATAATGTTCTTTTACATTACTTTCACAACTGTGTGTTTTTTTTCAAATTTAAATTTGGTAAATAGTGGGAGGGGAGCATTTATAGAAGGAGACCGCTGTAGAGTGTAGCTTAGCCTTACACAAATTAACTGTTCACCCCCAGCAGAACCTATCTTCTTTACTCTGAGTTGGAGTTGTTTCAGAGACCAATTATAAAGAGAGAAAATAATCATGGGAAAGAAAAATTGATGGGACTTCCAGGGAGGATTCGTGGCAAAGCAGATGTCTCTGAAGGAGCAGGGGTGGCGTTCCATAGAGAGAGATGGCCAGATGGTGGCCAGCACAATTTCTCTAGAAACAGGAGAGATTGTGAGATCATCCATCTGTACTCTGGACAGGTGCTTTTTGTGAGTAGACTGTAGGAACTGAGGCATCTGCAGTTGGCTTGTGAGTTGAGCAGCTGGGACTCGAGAGAATATTTCATCAAGCTCATAGCCATAATATAGCCTTTATGGATATAACAACAACAACCACAACAACAACAACAACAACAATAATAATAATAGAGTTGGAAGGGACCTTGGAGGTCATCTAGTCCAACCCCCTGTTCAGCAGAAAACCCTATACCATTTCAGACAAATGGCTGTCCAGTCTCTTCTTAAAAACTTCCAGTGTTGGAGCATTCACTGCTTCTGGAGGCAGGTTGTTCCACTGGTTAATTGTTCTAAGTGTCAGGAAGTTTCTCCTTAGTTCTAGGTTGCTTCTCTCTTTGATTAGTTTCCATCCGTTGCTTCTTGTCCTGCCTTCAGGCGCCTTGGAGAATAGCTTGACTCCCTCTTCTTTGTGGCAGCCCCTGAGATATTGGAACACTGCTATCATGTCCCCCCTCATCCTTCTCTTCGTTAAATTATACATACCCAATTCCAGTAACTGTTCTTTATATGTTTTAGCCTCCAGTCCCCTAATCATCTTTGTTGCTCTTCTCTGTACTCTTTCTAGAGTCTCAACATCTTTTCAGTGAACTTCATTTCATAATCACTTTTGGATGCAACTTATTTACACTAAAGAGGAACTATTAGGAACCTTCAGAATGACAAATTTTAACTGTTAGTGAAAGAAGTTTTAAATGCTAGTTTAAGAATCTTAAACTTTTTTTCATTTGCAGTAAAAAGCAAAATGGTGATTAGAACTTTTGATTCAGTAAAGTAATAAATGGACTGGGATCCAGATGGATCGGAAATAAAATTTTGGAATTAATTATAAAAATCCTTCCCATAGGAAAATGCTTTTGTTCCGAATTCTTTAAAAATGGGATAGGATAGGACTATGAAGGTTGGACACTAAAGAGAACCAGAGTGAACTGAAGATTATAGTATAATTAAAGGAGAAGAACACTTAAATTTGACTAATACAACATGGATCAATACTTTAATATTTAGAGAATATCTGTGAATAATGGACCAAAAATATAATTTTAAGAGTCTCTGTCAATTATAGATAGATTGTGTTTAAAAAACTATGTGGAAGAGGAAGCTATTTAACCAGACAAGAGTGAGACTGATATGAAGGTGGATTTAAAAATGACAGGCTACAAGAACGATATGGAAAATGATGCTACACAGGATATACAAATGCAACCAGTTGATGTCTTAATACTTAAGAGGTGTATACAAAGAACAAACCAAAAGAATGACTTGGATAACTTTCCCATATTGAATTCACAAAGGAGACTTGTTAAAGTTTTGGAAAATTTTGTGAGAAGGGTCAAAGAAAAAAATGACAAGAAATCAAGCCTGAGGATATAATTAAGGGATTAAATATTAATATTGTTAAAAGTAAAAGGCAGGAATATCAAAGGTTTCTTTGATCAAAATAGATATGTTGTTATCTCTGTTAACCCTGAATGGACTTTTACTGATCAGGATTGAACAATGAGGCTATAAGGATATGTTATTATAAATGAGATGGGATATGGGAAGAAGAGATCTTTTTTTTTTTTTTTTGGTATTTAGAGAAATAGTGATAAGTTACTAAAATTGTTCATACTCATTGGAATGAAGGTGGAAGTCGCTTCTTTATATATTTGTCTTTGTCTTTACTATATTCTATGTTTTCTTACTTTACTATCTTTCCTTTCTGTTTTGTCCTTTTAGTTTTCTTAGTTTGTATTAGTTTTATTGTTTTTAAATATAATATTTAATAAAATTCACACACACACACACACACACACACACACATATATGAAGAAAAAATGATGGGTAGGTGTGAAGGGTCATCCACAGCAATCTCATTCATCGACGTTTCCCTGCAAACTCTTTGTGTGACTAAATTCTTTATATATAGCCTTGTTCATGTTCATTACCATGCACTGGCAGAACTTTGTTGTAAAGTACCTCTATTTTTCTCTTTCTAAGACCCCTGTACACAAACTAAAACAGAGAGAGAGGGAGGGAGGGAGGGAGGGAGGGAGTAAATTCCCTGATGGCCTGGGATTCATTTCCCTCTCTCCCCCATCTGAAATAAAATCATATATTTTTCCCTTTAGGAAAAAAGTGCAGTTTAGATTAGTTTCAGTAGCTATGTATACACTCCATTGTATCATTCTCAGAAATGACTGCAGTCACAATACATGAGTGTCTCTGAAGTACTGAGAACATGTTTTGAAACTAGAATTTTATAGCTATGATTGGCACAATTCTTTTAATTCTTTCAACAGGGTGATGCCGGCCAACTGGGCATACGTGGTGAGGATGGCCCTGAGGGGCTGAAAGGACAGGTGGGACCTACTGGGGAAGCAGGTCATCCTGGCCTGTCTGGTGAGAAGGTGAGGTTTTGGAACATAAGAAGCCGTTTGTCTGTCCCCTTAGTGGTCACCCTGGCATTCAACAGCTCTCAGAGTATCAAGCAGAGGTCTTCCTCATTATCCCTTGATCATAAAAGAAGAAAGAAAAAATCATGAGGCTATGTATCCAGGGCCTTTGCTCTATTACTATGTTGTGGTCCCACTGATTAATTGCAGCAGGAATTTGTTTAATTCTTTCTCCACTCACAAGAGATTGTTTAATTTCATCCCTGGGCAGATGTAGGCTCTGATCATCTCCTTTTTTCTGCAGGGCAAATTGGGGGTGCCAGGGCTGCCAGGCTATCCTGGCCGCCAAGGACCCAAGGTAAGCAGGAGGGAAGAGCTGAAGTAAAGGAAGAAATTTTGTCCCAGCCTATCCTGCCCTGCCCTCAGATTGGGTTATTTTTCCACAGGGTTCGACCGGATTCCCAGGGCCCCTAGGCCTCATTGGAGAAAAAGGCAAACGAGTGAGTGAAACCGGGAGAGAAACAGGAAATACCCCTTGAAAGAAACCATGAGGGTTTTGGTTTTTTTGCAGACTACAAAGATGGGAGAGGATATGGGAAGAGATGCGATTCAACAAAAGGGACTGTATTTTTGTATTTTGTATTTTGTATTTTTGTATTTTGTATTTTTTGTATTTTGTGTATATTATTTGTTTTTAATATGCTGTGAACCGCCCTGAGTCCTATGGGAGAAGGGCGGTATACAAATTAAAATAATAATAATAATAATAATAATAATAATAATAATAATAATAATAATAATAATAATAATAATAATAATAATAATAATAATAATAATAATAATAATAATAATAATAATAAAAAAAAAGGAAGTATGCGAACCCTTTTTTGAAGGTGCCAACTGCAGTTTAAGCGAAATGGTTATTTCCTCATCTCTCAGAGACTATTTTGCGGTCTCTTCATGAGGAGCAATTGTCAGGAGCACTTGTGGGCAAACTTGAGTTCTTTCCTTGTCCAGAAAGGAGCATATGGAACTGCATTGCAGCCTGGATCTTGCTTTCACTTACAAAAAGTAACTGCATCAGGATTTGGAGGACTGTTTGTCCTCTATCCCTTGACACATTTTATTGATTCATTTTATTTGCTACAGCAGTGCTTTTATTTGCTAATGCTCACACTTCAGCATGGATCACAGCAAGGGAGCACAGTCTGAGAAGCAGGATTACCCAATTACCAGCTGTTTTCACTGAAATGAATCAGAGAGAAATGGTTCTCTACTTTCAAATATTCCTGTTGAACGTGACATTCTAGTTTAGATCTGAAAGAATAATCCACTTTTTATTGTTGTTGTTTTTTTTTTTTATCTCATAGCACACTTGTTAGGACAAATGCTATTGAGGACAATTGCTAGCAACCATAACCAAGGGGTATAAAATAGAAACTTGCCTTAATGTTAGGCAAATTTAATTGAAGTTTATAGTTTAAGTGTCCAAATGTTTAGTATTTGGCAGATATATTTATAACAGGGCTTAGCATTTCTATTGTACGTTTCAAATTTAGATATACATTTTGGTTCTTCTGTTAATGGACAGTGATGCACATTAAAGTCCAAACTAGAGGTGACATGTGAGATAAGGGGACACCTGGGATCTTTTTGTAATGTCCCATTTAAGCCTGATAACTCTGTGTGTGTGGGAGGGGGGTTATTGAAGTCCATCTTACCCTCCTTTTCTGTTTTCCTTCTTTTCAAGGGAAAAGCTGGCCAGGCAGGACAGACTGGACCACGTGGTCCTCTGGTGAGCATTCATTTAATACAGGGGTGTCAAACTGCCGGCCCGTGGGCCGGTTTCATCATACCGGAGCCGCGCCCACCCCATTGCCGGCAATGGTGAAAAAGTTCGGATACGTCGCGCGACATCATGTGACGTCGCGAGTTTGACATGCCTGATCTAATAGATGCTTATAAAGTCCCAAAGAATTTTTTTAATGCTTATCAACAAAAAGCCAATATATATGCTGGCTAGAAGATGTCCTCTCCCCACATCCCTTCACTGAAGAACAAATTACAAGGGCACAAACATCCTGATGAGAATATTGAGACAGTAAAAAAAGGATGNTCATGTGACGTCGCGAGTTTGACATGCCTGATCTAATAGATGCTTATAAAGTCCCAAAGAATTTTTTTAATGCTTATCAACAAAAAGCCAATATATATGCTGGCTAGAAGATGTCCTCTCCCCACATCCCTTCACTGAAGAACAAATTACAAGGGCACAAACATCCTGATGAGAATATTGAGACAGTAAAAAAAGGATGTAATGAACGTTCAGCCCTCTAGGGCCACCATACTCCTTATATGACAGTGAGTAGCCCTGAGATCCGCAGCTTCTTTTCTGTCTTTCAGAGGTCGTATCAAGTGTGTGTAATGTTGTTCTTGGCTCTGAATAGAGCAAAGGAGCTCTTATATTTTCTGGAAACCCCTTATGAGGAAACTGCTTTCTGTGAATTGGGGGAATTTTAAAAATGGCTCCTGATAATAGCAAGATATTAACGGTTTATGGGACGGGCAAGGAGGAGGAGGAGGAGCATCACCTTAATTCTGTAAAGTAATATGTGTCTGACTCAGTTAAAAATCATAGTTGTTAGACTGCCCATATTTATGTAGCTGAAGGATGGGAGAAGTATCTCTTTAAATTTCACACATTTGGAGAAGATAACAGGTGCTTTTTGTTGCAACTCCCCTACCCATCACAAAAATATGTAAATAACCTATATGCTAATAGTAATCCATTTGTGTTCTGGGATCTAGGAAGCCTGGTTCAGTACCAGATTGCAATTTACAAACACCAATCTGAAACTGATATCCTTTCCCATTCTAGGGTATTTCTGGTGAACGTGGTTTGCCAGGCTCTACAGGGAAGCCAGGATCAAAGGTATGCCTGTTTGCTTTACGATGTATATGGCCTTTTACATTTCTCCATGTGCAGCTGTGGCCAGTGCTGTCTTGACAAAATTATATAACTGCATTAGAACTGAAATGGTCATTATGCATTAAATCAATCTACATAGGCAGCTATAGGTGACTAAATTACATTATACAAAAACATTGTATAGATTGCTCAGATTGTGCACGTTTCATCCAGAATTGCATGGTTTGATTTTTAAATGACCCCACACATTAAGACTAACACTATTGGCAAAACCACCCTAAAGTCCCCACAAACAGAACTAAGAAAACACTAATTTCCTTGTCTGTTGGAATATTAGCATGTATGGGAGAGGCTGATAGATGTATCTTATTTATAAAATATATCATCTACTTCCTAAGTTGCCGATTTTCCTATAAACAGAAGTTTTTTTTTTCAGTGTAACATTACCTGATACTGTCCAAAATGGTATTTTCGGAACTCTGCATCATGTGATTTATCTGACTTTGTAGATGAATAGTAGAACTCCTAGAGCTAGGCTCTGGTGATCTTTGCTATCTGCATTAATGTTATGCTGGTTTTTCTTGCTGCTGCTTTGTCAACCCTTGATGTTAATTGTAGTAAAAATCTGGAGAGGTTTTTGTTATTGTTGTTTTTTAACTAATGTTCCTTCCTCCAGGGTGACTCTGGCCATGATGGCCCCCCAGGGACTATAGGAGAAAAGGTAAGATGAATGATTAAATCCCTGCAAATGAAGGACATCTGTGGTCAGTAGTCTTTGTTCTTCCTCTGGTAAAAGTATGTCACAGGAAGAGAAGTTATGACATCATAAAGGCCATGGTATCTCTGAGGCTGTTGAAACCATGACGATATCTTCATGGATCCAATAATTTCAGAAATAGCATAATCTTTATGATGTCACGGGTTCTCTTCCTGAGATAGACTTTTGCCAAAGCAAAAAGCAAAAATCTTCACATAAAAGGTTACTTTATAGTCTGTGGGAAGAAGAACTAACTTCAGAAAATTAAACATTTACAATATGATAAATGTGAGAACGGGGAAAGCTGAATAGGAAGCTAAAATATATCACAGTAATTTTTCTTTTCCCACAGGGGCCCACTGGGCCGCAGGGATCCAATGGATTCTCCGGATCAAAGGGACCACCAGTAAGTAACCCACTATTCCTTTTGAAAAAATTTCTGTTTATCTACAGTAGATATAGAAGAGGTAAGGATCAATATCCCATAAAATAGTTGTGTATGAGAGAGCGGATTGTACTTTTTATTATTACAATCTAGCTAATAAAAATTTGCCATTTGAATTATGCATGGGGAGAATGCAAAGCCCAAGTTAAAAATAGATTGTGTATTCAAAGACTTAAGTAATCAATAGACATACTGTTCATTACAGGACATCTGTAAGTAAATAAACTGATTGTTACAGAATTTCAGTCTTGGTGGCATTGTATTTTTACTTGCAAAATAAAAGAGTTTGGGTCTACTTTACTGCAAAATGATAGTCTGGATAATTGGTTGTTAGGCTTATAAGGTTGGATGCCTGCCTGCCTGCCTGGGACTAGAATTGCTTTTGTAAGGTATACAGGATACGTAAAACTTCAGAGGCCTAAAATATTACCACCAGTGTCAGATTTTGCAGAATCCAAAGTATGGCATTTGAGCTAAGGAAACATGACCATGTTTGAATCCCATTCTTTTATTTTTTTTTTGTTGCCATGGGCATTCATTTTGACCAAATTAGTTTTACCTAAAACATGTTAATTGCATAAAGAAATAGCATAAAAATGTGGGGCATATTTCTATCAAAACCGTTTAATAGCTTGACATATTCTTTTAAAAGCTGCCTGGAGGGGACCAGGTGGCAGAATTTATTATTCGATCTTCTTTAATCTTCTCTTCTTTTCAGAGCTATCTTATTCCCATCTCAGTCCCAGTAGGGGGGCTCTGGAGGGCAGTTGTCATATTTCAATCTCTTCACCCATGTTCATGATCAGAACACTTCAAAAAGTGTCATCCTTGTTTGCTCTTTGAGTACATGCAATATAGATTTCACGAACCCCAAATTTCCCAACCTTTTTTTAATTAGAAATATTGCAATCTTAAAACAATTTCATTAGGTCTGGCCCAGCATGGCTATCAATCTATACTGCATTGTGAAGTGTATTTATTTTAAAAAGTAGCACAATAGATTATACATGGCAGTTGCAACTGTAAGAGAGACCAAGTCTTCACCCATAAACTCAGTATGGATTTTCCTTCAAAGGGTCATGTATGTGTATATATGTGCAGAAAATCTCTGCATAGCCCACAAAGGAAGCCTTCTAAAGCCTTGTGTTCTCCATACACATTAAAGGAGAATTCTCATCACCCCAACTAGCATGGAGAATCTACATTGCTGGAGAAAGTAGGGCATTAGGTTAGGAAAGGTGAGAGAGATAGGTGATGTTCAAATTTTGATAAACAAACTGCTTTAGGGAAATTTCTGGGGCAGTGATATGCTTTGGGTATCCCTTGATTGGACAGGAAACATTTTGGCTTATGGATCTATTTGAAGTATTAAGTTAACAGCATGGATTCTTCCAACAAATTATTGCTAAGAGGAGGAACTCCTGTCAAAAATTGTCAGAAATTATTGTCAAGGTAATGTGATGAGACTGTTTCCCACCACACCCTCGTTCTCCTGCAACACTTCCTGCCATTCCAGCTTATCTTTATCCTTTTTTTTAGGCAACTGGTGAACCTCTAAATGTAATGCTGAGCTGCAGTCATCCACCATTTACATTTTCCAGAACTATGTTTGTTTGGGACTCTTATAAATAAAGATGATATTGGAAGCAGGCAAACTCAGAAAACAAGAAAACAAGAACCTCTTGCATTTCTGGAAAGAGAAATTCTTGAAAGCCTGCCAGAACAGTTCTCTAGATCAACTAACGCAGGGGTAGGCAACCTCGGCTGTTTTATGACTCATGGACTTCAACTCCCAGAATTCCTGAGTCAGCATAGCTGACTCAGGAATTCTGGGAGTTGAAGTCCATGAGTCAGAAAAGAGCCGAGGTTGCCTACCCCTGAACTAATATCTAGCAAAGTGTTAGCTACTTTGAGCCTCTTTCTCATGTTCTTCCCTCCCTGGGCCAAGGAAACTTTTCTATAATGGCCCAAGTCCCTCTTTTAATAGGTCTGCTTCCTTTTCTGTGTTCCAGGATCTATTCGATATTTCCTCATAAAAGCTGTCATTTCCTTTATAGTATGCCAGTTTTCCTATTGATTGATTGGTTTAGAATTAGAAGAGTTACAAATACATAAATAGTGAAATTAAGTGAGGGAAGGATCCTGACAGGCACTATATTTATTGTTTGAACACCTACCCCAATCTTTTTTTAAAAAAACAAACAAACAAATCCCCCAAAAACACAATTATTTCTGTTTGGAAGGGTCCTGTAGGAAAAGATGGTCTACCAGGACATCCAGGCCAGCGTGGTGAGCCAGTAAGTATTAATGTCAACTTTAGAATGAGCATGGCTGCAGCCATTTTTTCCTTCTCATTCTTAGTTGCCACATAGCATGGAGGGAGGGGGGTTTGCCAGGTGTTGCACTAGACAAAACAGACTTTCTCTATTCAATTTTCTCTCATGGGAACCAAGGTCATCAGCTGCTACTGAGACTGTGGGCTGGGCGTTTCATGAAAAGCCTGCCAACAAGCTGAATGGGGAAATGTAGTTGCTTGCATAGCTTTAGGGGTGGGATTTCTTAACTTTGTATTGGGGAATTGTTATGCATCTCTTCAGAGCTGGTTTCACTTTTGAAGTGCCGATACTCTGTATCAATAAATATGTTCCTTGAGGAATTTGCGAGCCTTGGAGTTCTGCTTTATTTGTCTCTGTCGATCGGAACCTTGACAATTAATGTAAATTCCTCTCAAGGTTGGTTGTTGCCACGTGGTCTGTGGATAACTGCCTCCTTTTTTTGTCTTGTTCTCCTTTACTGATTTCTTGCCTTGGAAATTTGTCTGGCTGCTTTCTCTATATTTCCTTAATGGGTTCAGCATTCTATTGTTGACTCTCCAAAATGATTTTCACTTCTCTATGAGATGAAGGGGGGGAAAAATCAGTCACACCATTTTCTCTACAAGGTGATCAGTCCTCAAAACTAAAACAGCCAACTGGGTTTCAGGTGTTGAGCATTGCATTTTGAGCATCCCTAATATTGAGTATTGCATTTTTACTTATCCAATATAACTCTTCAGATACATTGGACCAACACTTGAAATTCCCCAATGTATTTGGTCCATGGTTCCACTTGATGGAATCCTGAAACTAATCATCCAATATCTGTTTTGGGAATTGTTGGGCTCCTGGATGAGTGAACCATGAGGGAGATCTCCATTGGACTAAAATATCTTCGTTTTAGATAGTAATCTTTCTTTCTCTTTTCTATAGGGATTTCATGGCAAAACTGGCCCACCAGGGCCACCAGGTGTTGTTGGGCCACAGGTAAAGAGGTTCTTTAGTTTATGTATTCATAGTTAAAGTATATAGTCATAGTTAAAACTGGGCAGCCTTAGCTGAGATACTATCCATGTTGCTAAGGTAGCAGTAAGACCTATGTGCAAACTTGAATTATAAAATTAATGATATCTTTTTGAATTTAGTAGATACCGTGCATGAAAAATATTCCAGAGTTTCTAGCTATCACAGTAGGACATACAACAATTCTTAATCAGAGGGCCAGATCTGATCTCTGAGTGGTAGGCCCACTAGTGACAATTGCATGGTGATGTCATTGTACATTTGTTGTCTTGTTGACATCATTTGTTACAGATGCTGCAAAATTAGAGTTAATTAAGTTCAATGATGATTTCCTATGCATTTAATATTATTTAATATCCCCCCCTTCTCTAACATTAAATGTTTTGAAAATTACTGGAGGTATATATTATCCATGCTCTCACTATCTGCTTTCCAATTCTGAGACTTAAAATAAATCTTTTGAAGTAGAATTTGGGAAGTAGAAAACATAAGGAAGTAAGCTTTAGTTAAACATTAGGTAGTACTTCATAGCAAACAGAGCTAGTAGCAGTGAAATAGGCTGCTTTGGGAGGTAACTTTTTCCTTCACTGAAGCTGCTTATCTGGATAGCTTTCTGTCAAGGATACTGTAAAAAAACATCCTTCACTGAGATCTTTTATTAGCTTAAATCATGTTCAATTTTCCTTCAACTTTTATGAGTTAGTTAATATATGGATATAATAGCTACATGTTATACGTAAAACCATCAGATAGCTTAGTGTGCAAGTGTTAAGCTTTCAGTTCAGTAGTGTTGAAATACACACACACACACACACACACACCCAAATATAGTCTATGTGCATAGGAAAGAGAAGAGATTGTCTTGATTATAGTCTTCTTGAATCAATAAGGAGATGCAATGGAGATACCAGCTAAATCCTTTCAAATGCAAAATGAATGATCTGAAAGATGACCCAGAACAATACTAATATTCTTATAGTTATGTCTTATTACAACATTTAACCTGCTCTCAAAAGTATTGTATCTTCTCTACAGGGAAACACAGGAGAAACTGGCCCTATGGGGGAGAGAGGCCACCCAGGGTCCCCTGGTCCTCCTGGAGAACAAGGCCTGCCTGGTATTGCTGGTAGGGAAGGTGCCAAGGTGAGCACTTACAGGTAGCATTGTCATAAACAAGAAATGAGAGCAGGTGAAAAGGAATGGATTTTCCCAATGCTGCCAAGTGTCCCTAAACCAGTATCAGCATTGCTTTAAATGGATTGCCACATATACATCTCAGAAGAGCTGCATTTCAGTCCTAAAGAAATAACCATTCTGTATTTTTGTCATGTTCTATACAAGAATTAAGAGCTTGCTTATGCAATCTTCATTCTACAAAATCCTTTGCAGTGAGACTGTAGCAAAGCATATGCCGATCCATACACCTGGGGCCAGTAACTATAGGAAATGATTGGTTTGTCTAAAATATGGCAGGACCAATGAAGTTAGCCCAAAATTGTTAGAAGTAACTGCATAGTAAAACTAGATCTTTACTTCTAGGGTGATCCTGGACCTAGTGGCATCCCAGGCATTCCAGGTCCTCCTGGAATTAGAGGCTTCACAGGAGCCCGTGGTGCTGTTGGAGAGAAAGTAAGTCTCCAAGAAGATGGACAGGAAATGATGTGGAACTTAATAGTTATGATGGGTATGGAATAGAATAAAGGTCTATGCTGTACCAGACTAATTTAATTTAACTGGGTTATTTCGCTGGAACCACCATGTACCTCTAATTGTAATTTGCTTGGAATGAGCAGTCTAGGAGTACTGTGTTACTATGTCTTGGGGAAAAGGTTCCATGGATCAATTTCCTTACTGTTATTGGAAACCTTATGCTAGGTTAAATGAGCCTTTGGCCTGTTCAACCACAGTGAAGTTTTCCGTTCCTGCCTGCATGTTTGTGATCTAAAAGATCCCAATAGAAAAGGAGAAAGAGAATAAGGACAGAAGATGAGATGTTGGCACCTCCATGGAAAGTCATCTTCCTCTGTTTTACTTTCTATCATAGGGACCAATTGGGCTGAAAGGAGCAGAAGGGCCACCTGGTCCAGCAGGCACCATTGTAAGTAACCTAGAGTTTCCCCCTAACATCAAAAGGAAGATGAGACTTTCATTGCATGATAGAGAGAGAGGGCTTGCATATAATACCCATTATCAGTGAAGTGAAGACCCCTTTACTGCAGCAAGAGTGGACTCTTGGAGTCAAATTCTTTCTCATGATGTTGCAGCCTGAATTAATGGGGGTAACAGCAAACATTAATCAAAGGAGAGGTCTGAATTAGAGATAACTTCAGATTAGACAGATGGGGTTCATAGATTTATTCCCTCCTGACAGGGTCCTCCTGGGGAACGAGGTCCCTCTGGAGCAGCCGGAGGCATTGGACTACCGGGAAGAGGGGGTAATCCCGGACCACCTGGACCTGCAGGGGAGAAAGGAGCACCGGTATGTACAAGCCACTGCCTTGCCATTAATGATCAATTTTAAAAAAAGACATTCAAAACTCAACTAATATGCAAGATGATCTTAACCTAAAGAGCGGGTGAACTAGAAGCTTCGATAAAGGAAAGTCATCTAATGAATGCTTATTGTAGCCTTTCCCAACTTCCAGATGTGTTAGTCTACAATTCCTTCTATGTGATGGGAATCTATCCCAGCTTGTTGGAGAGCATCAGATTGGGAATCATGGCTTAGAGAAAATTTTAAGATGAAACCACAGAATCCAGGAGTTGAGTAATAATAAATCCTTAAGGTCTGATTCTTTTACTTCTAATGCAAAGAGTTTCTTTGCTCAGAACCACTTGCTTCATCCTGGGTCTGGTTTTATCCATTGTAAGATGATATAAATTCAGCCTAAGAACTGCTTTGGACCTATTGTACATTAAAAAAATGCCTTCCTCTCATTTCATTACTTTACATTTTAATCTTTGGACGGGGAACAAGACTTTGCATTTCTAAATGCAGTATGCAAAAAATTGCACTTAGCCAAGTTTTAATTAAAATTTAAAAGAGTGTCATTATCAGATTAAAATACTAATAGGAAAAAGAAAAGTGTTGCAGATAAAAATGGATTTAGGGAAGTTAAATAGCAAAAATGAATAATAGTATTAAAATGTTTTCCAGATGTCCACTCATATTATTAAGAGGTAGTACTGTGACGTTAATACTTGCCTTATAAATTGCCAATTACAGCACTTTAAGAAGCAAACTGTCCATCAGAACAGGACGACACATGAAACAGTGGCACTTATACAAGAGTTTACCTGTAATTTCCTGGTATAAATAATGTCAAAGTCAAATATCAAGATTTGTTAGACTCGAATGTGCTCATTAGGTCACGGGCTGATTTGTAAAAATTACTACATGTAAAACTGAATGGAAGAAATCTTGCCATTATCTTTTATTCCTCACATAAATTGGGAATATCAGTTGACTGGTTGCCAGCAACCTAATTTTTATGTAGCTTTGTGGCCACTTTGAGAGTTTTGTATCAGCATCCTCAGTATGAAATAACTCAGATGTAAATTTGTATGTCTATATTCTCTATATTACTTGTGGATTGCAGTGGATCTTTGGGTGCCAGTATCTACTTAATGAAACTGAGAATTCCAAAGAAAGTTTATTTCCAAAGTGTTTATAATTAAGGTATCCATTAACCACACCATTTATTTTTCTATGCATAGTAAAAATTCTTTTTTCATAACAGACACCTCTGTTCCACCCTGTACTTATGGGGTTTTTTTTTTCCCTCAGGGTGATCGAGGACCAATGGGTCCAGCTGGTCATGATGGAATCCTAGGTCCAGTGGGGCTTCCAGGCCCAGCTGGGCCTCCAGGACTTGCTGGAGAGGACGGTGACAAAGTAAGGGATCTGCGTTTTGGAGGAAATAGGCGGTGTACTGGATCCATTCGATTACATAGACCCATTTTTGTTTCCTTGGCAACACATGGCTTGGCAACTACTTTACTGAGATTTTCCTAGCAATTATTTCTATAGCTGGTTTCATTAGCCAAGATTTTAGTCAGTGGGACAAATGTTCCTGACAATAATTGCTGTAATGATGTTTTCTCTGTTGTTGTTTTTTTCTGTCCTCTGTCTCTTAATGTGTGTGTGTGTGTGTGTGTAGGGAGAAATGGGTGGCCCAGGGCAGAAGGGAAGCAAGGGCGACAAAGGAGATGCGGTGAGTTTGAAGGAGATTGCTCAAAGGCTTCGATGTAACTTCTAACAATTGCCCTTTAAACCTACTCACACATTTGCTTGCCGCTTCTTTAAGGTTACTGAGTAATTGAGATTTCTTAAAAAGATTGGAAGAGCAGGAATTCAGCACCAGGAGCAGAGAACTAAGTGTCACTGTTTCATGTGCTTTCTCTTTCAACAGGGTCCCCCAGGACCAACTGGGATCCAGGGTCCTATTGGGCATCCAGGATCTGCTGTGAGTCTTTCTTCACCCCAACATTTTTTTCTGAAACAGTATGAATTTAAGAACTTTAGTGGGTGGAAAAGCCTTCCTCTTTCTGTATTTTCCTGAGATATTTGTCATTCTTTCAAGCAAATGTATGCATCGTTTCTCTTCAAACTGTTTGTCTCTTCTATGCACCGTTCAGCTCATTTTCCTTATCCCTGTTTTCTTTAACTATTAAGATGTTCCTTCCCATAGCAATGTTTAAGATCCTGTTTGGTTAAAATGTTTTTCGTTGTATCACATTCATCCCAGATTTTTGGCTCTCTTAAAGCAA